TTGATATTGCCGTCGTCGTGGCAACGTTCTCCCGCTGTTTTTGCTGCTTCCGTTTTTTGGAAACAGCGGTGGTTGTGGTCTGGAACTCGGGTTGAGTCATCGGGGTCGCCACTGCTCGGGCCGCTGTTTGCGGCTGGGAAGCGGCTTCACCCTGAGTACTCTTCTTCTTTTTCCTATTCCCCCTCTTCCTCTTCTTTTTGGCCACTTCACCACGAATTGTGGCGTCGTTGGCCGGTGGCATAAGTGTGGCATATGTGCCTGCCGTGGGCTGCGTCGTGCTCGCAGCCGTTGCGGGAATTGTTGCCTTGCTTCCCTGATTTAGAGGGGGAAGAGGCATAACGCTCCTTTCGAGTGGGTGTGGTGTTTGTCTGGGTGGTGGAGGGGGTGGTAATGGTGGCGACAATTTGATGCCACGACTCTTAGCCACCCGCTGTAGTACTGCACAGCGCCTATCGTTAGCTGCGTGCGCTTTTGCGCAGTTGGCGCATTTCGGTGGCTCGCTCTTGCGTGGACATTCGGCCGATATGTGTCCTCCAGCGCAGCGCACGCAGCGTAGGGGTCGGTAGCAGTTGGCAGACGCATGCCCGAACCCCTGACAGCGGTGGCATTGTGCGGGACCGCCTTTACCATGCCAGGCCTCTATTGTGATGCCCGGCATGTTTAACACCTCGGTCACATCATATAGACGTTTTAATTCGTCTTTGTTGAGGTGATCGAGTTTAAGGTGGTATAGGGTTCCCGGTCTGGACCTCTTGGGCATTATCGCCCTCGAGTAAGTAGCCGGGAACCCCAGTTTTTTGAAGTATTCGACCACCTCTTCGGGGGACGTGTCCCTGGGGAGGCCTCTGATCCCCACCTTTGTGGGCACTTCTTCAGGTGGTGCATAACAATACCACGCAATGGTGGGATCTTTTTGGCTGCACTCGACAAGGTAGCGCTGTATCACCCGGTATTCTGCGGCATTTTCCGGGTGGAAGCGCACTCCCTTGCCGAGTGGCCTGGCATTTGGGGCGTGACCTAATTGTCCTTTAAGGACGGAAAAATGTTTAGTCCATTGTGGTAGACATTCTACCACAATGGGAGGATATTTGTGACCCTTTTCTTCCGCAGGTTGCGGGCGCGTTTGATTGGGTCCCTGTATACTAGCGGACAATCTACGAGGAGATGGTGGAGCAGATGCCGCATTGGGGTCGCGTACGTTGGTGGTGTTGGTGTCATAGATGAGAGACCGGGCTGAGGTTCTTCTGAGTCCATCTCGATCTCAGTGGTGTAATCCGCTTGGTTTGACGGTCCTGGTGTCGGTTCAATCCCGCCAGAGGCCGGGGGTAGGACATTCTGCCTTTTGTCCTTGTGTATGACTATGTCATCTAGTTTAGGACGTTTGTCATCCTGGACTGGTGAGTCCGGGGATGTGGGTGGGCGGGGTGTCTTCACCCTTTGAGGTTGTGGCGGTACTGCCACTTGTTCCCCACTTTCGGGGGTGATTTGTGCGGGCTCTGCGGCTTTAGTTGGCACAGTACCCTTTGACTGAGGTGTTTGGATCTGCTTTGGCAGGACCCTGGTGATCTCATTTGTAAAGATGTTTCGCTCTACGAGTATCTTTACTTGGGGCTTGGCTCGCCTTGATTTGGCGGTGGTCGCGGCTTTTTTGCCACGAACCATGATGTTTTTGATTTAGTGCGCATCTAGAGAGAAACTCTTCTAGAGCGCACCAGAGATTGGCTGTTTTGCACTCTAACAGCACGCGTTTGTTGAGGTTGCTCCCTGTGTACCTCACCCCACCGGGGGCCCTTAAAGGGAAATCCACCGATGAGACAAAACGGTTCCGGATATAACCACAACAACGCCGGGTGGAGTGACTTCAGCTGTTTGGTTACTAAGGTAACCCCGTCCCACCACTGGGCCCTTTTTGTGCAAAAAGGGCGACCAAGTAGTGGGCAGCTATGCGGTTGTACTCAGTTGAGCGCTGAAACGACAGAACAAACAGACAGAAAAAAAAACCGAGAACAACAACAAGAGGAACGAGTGTCCTAGGCGTCTCGACGCGGAACGGAGCAATGCTCGACGCTCGGCGGAGTTTCGCTTCGGAAGGCTGAGTATGCGCACGGACCTTGTCTGCTGGGATGCAACGAAGGCGTACACACACATAAACCGCTCACTTGATCCTCCCCCTTTTAAATGAACAAGTACCCAGATCAAAACCATTGCAAAACTTGACGTTATTGTAGTCACGTTCTAATATTTCTTTATTTATTTGCCAAAGCACGTGGAAGAATGTATGACTTCTATAGCCACTTGCAAATAGCATGCAAATATAAATTAAAGTCAATATTACAATAACCAATGATGAAGCCATTTCATTGCAAAATTTAATTAAGTTTCATTGAAAAATTTAATAACTTGACTAGTTAGCTAAAATTTTGATGTTTTAAATATTTGCGTATCTCTTTAGCTTTCTCATCTGTAATCTGATGTTAAATGAAACAATTTTAACACAATTAATTTAATTCGCTTAAGTAACTCATACAACGAATCAATTAATAGAGAGAAAAATTGCCCACTCCGATTTTTCGTAGCTCGAGTCATGCTGAAATATTTTAATAAGGAATGCACATTCAGACATCTTAACGGGTCTGGCAATGTGAGATTCGAGAGCCGCGCAAGTTATGAGTTATCTTAATATGATTTTCGAGTAAATAGGGATAATAAATAGGGATAAGCTCTTGCAATTTTCTCATGCATTGTTGTATTTGTACTCTTCAATTCAAAAAACGAACGGCAGATCCATCGTGGTATCTTCATTGCACGGGGTTTAATTCCTAATTAAAAAGAAGTGACGAGCTTATCACCGCGCATTGGACAAGAATGTGATGTAGCGTAATAATTGCTATATTTCGTGGATAGTTGCTCTTGATATGCAAAAATCATTATGCAAAGAACTGTTCAAACCTTTGAAAGCATAAAGTAAGTCTTCACAGCACTAGTGGCTGTCTCAGAGCCACAGTTTCAATATTCTATGTATTGATAGATTTTTTTACTGGAGATAGAATTTCGAAGTAAGTATTATGGAGCTAATGTCAAATACCTATCGCTAAAACCCTTCTAACTAAACCGCCAGAGACGTCGCCGATCAAAAAGTATCACAATAAAAATAAAATATGAGTAAAATGTTCTCTTACATCTTTCATAAATTCCATACCCTAAAATGAGTTAAAGTTGTACAAATTTCTTAACCTTTAATGAAAGATCTTTAAGGTTAAGAAATTTGTACAACTTTAACCCGTTATAAGATAAGACGTGAGATTGAGAAAAATAATTTTTATATGCATTTATACACATATTCATATGTATCTATATTTGTTTGGATATATACCTTGCAGTGGAAGTTAATAAAAGCGTGTTAGACACAGTCTTAGCGACGACTATCCGTCCGTGTTACTATGTAGAACTGAACTAATGCGCGAAGTAAACTTCCTTCTTCTAGGAAAGCTCCAGTAGTGAGGGATGAAACGATTGCACGACAAAGAAAATGCGTCTAGAATATTTTATTTTAACATTAATGTCACATTCCTCTCCCACTGAAAATGATTTTGATGGACAGTTTACAATATAGTAGAAGTTTCTTGTAAAAAGAAATGTAGCGTTAACAAATGGGTTTTGAATAATCATCATTTCAGCCTATTTTCGTCCACCTGCATCCATCGACTTCCCGCACATTTGCACAGGTCGTCACTCCATCTAGTGCGGGGTAGTCCCACACTGCGATGGCCAGTTCGAGGCTGCCACTCGATTAAACATTTAACTGGGACTCACTTTCTTTGTGTGAAGAGTGTAAAGAGTGTGTGAGAAGATGACAAGCAAACTGGCGGTTCATCTGATATCAAGTGAATAACCGTTGCCCATGAACTTTTTACGTTTTTTTTTAATAAAGTTGACCCCAACGTCACGCACCCGGACCTGCCCATTCGTGCAACAGCGAAAACTGTTTGCGTGGCCCTACCACATTTTTGAGCAGACTTTCTCAATGTGCTTTGTAAGGACATAGCTGGCGAAAAACAGAAAAACAAGGACATATAATTGTATGTGTATGAAATAGTGAAATAGAGGCGTTGCTAGGCGAGGCAATATGGCGATGGGATTCACCGAATGTTCCGTCATTTAAATTTAGCAAGAAAGCGAAAAAAACATTTTTATAAATTCGCCAATTCATTAACGGATTACGATAGGCCGCTGTTTGTCATTTCGTATGAATTGAATCGTCAATATTTGTCTGATGAATTTGCATTTATTTAAATATTTCAATTTCATTTTGCTTTTAAAATTTATTTTCCATTTAAAACTTGCCTACATCTTTACACCGACCCTTAATATATAAGTCGGGTTATAGTAGCTTCTATCGACCCTCCGATTTGATGTCGTCCCATTAACTGTCTTTTACATTACACAAATATATATTTATTCAAAATAAATGCCCTATAATACACACATAAACTAACATAACAAACATATTATACCTTCGCACATAAGTACGTAAGGAATTAAATGATTAATTTATCACGCTAGCTTTATTATATAGCTAAGTTAGTATATATAAGGAAATGTTATCGCGTTAAAGTTTAACTTTTAAATTGCGTTTCTAACACTTTAACTTCAACACCCGCACCAACGTCGTAGTTTAGTTGTTCAATTTTACGGTGGTGGGGCCACGCAGCAGCCTCGGCTGTTGCACGAACGGGCAGGCCCGTCCGGGTAAGTACCACGACCTCACAAAAGACTAGCGTAAAGTGGAAGTATGACAAATACTTTCGCGTTTCGTCTGGTGAGTGAGGTAGCCGGAGACCAATTTTCAAAAGGTTGTCAACGCATCTGTAACCCTCGGGTGTGGCAGATGTCCATAGGCGGCGGTATACACTTAACATCAGGTGAACCGCCTGCTCGTTTGACAATTTTTCGCATAAAAAAAGGAAAAATAATACTTAATTTGGTCCAGTTTTCGGAGAATGACCGTTTTTTCTTTTACGTTGGAAAAATCCTTTATGGATCCCCTGCCCCCGATCGAGGAACTGGCGAGGTGTCTCGGTCAGAATCGGGTACCGATTAAAAAATCCAAACACAGGGGCAGGTTCCACCTGCACTCCCGGGTTGCACTAGACTAAAAATCAAAATCAAAATCAAATTCATTTATTCATCGACATAAGAAACTTACATTTCATATATCTATAGTCATATATTTTTTTAAATCTACCACCGTTTCGTAATGAGGTTCCGCTAACGGAGAAGATTAAAAATATTATACAACTGATTTTTTTTCCTTTTAGAAATAGCTTGGGAGCGATCAACTCATTCCCAGGGGTAATTTTCATTAATGTATTCAATTGTATTATAATAACCCTTTTTACCCTTTTTATAAAGTTTATAGACTGTTTTAAGAGACTTTTGAGACACGGTATTATTTTCTCTACATAGTAGATACTGGCAGTTACAAAATTTTAAGAAGAAACGATTCACACTGAGCTACAGCGGCCCCAATTATACTGTAATTGTTTTGTTATTGCAAAGCAAATTCGCAGCGGAATGAAATGCGAGAGCGCGCAATAAATCGGAATGAGAATGGCGGCCATCGAGCCTTTAGTGCTAAATCCCCTCTGTTGCCCTTAACGAATTGCCTTATTGTATTGCCTGTCAGTATTCCCAAGCTGTAGATCAGAGAAAGAATGTTTCCCGCCATGTTTTCTGGCTCGTTAACTCCACGGACCGCGGGAAAGTGCGGCGTTAAACCGAGATTGTATTAGACTCTATACATGGTATGGTAACATAACAAATTCAAATTCCGATATCTTTATCCAATATATAAGTATTACACTTACTTATCGTCGTTAATAATTAAGATACCGTCGCTATACATACTCGAGAAAATCACGTACGAAATAATATACACCTCTTTACAAAAAACAATCCACATGGCATCGGGTAACACCCTATAAATACCGAGGCTTTATGGATACCTGAGAAGGACCTGCGAGAGAATCTCAGCGGAACAAATTGTAAATAAGTATTCATTAATTAATGGTTTTTTAAGGGCTCTTATTTTTAAAAGTAATGATAAATTATAGTTTACTTCACTCTTTCGTTTAAACAAATTGCCATAGGTGGCATTATCGTAACATTGTTTGTAAGAATTTTTTAAATGAAATTTATGCTTTATGAAATAAATTTATTCTACTTGATTATTTTCAGTAAATAGCAGCAAATGTAAGCCTTAAAATGGTGTATGAATCATCAAATTTGATTAAGGATTATGGAAGTTATGGTGTACCGACAAAAAACACATTTTAGAAATAATACATACAGAAAGTTCTTGCAAGTTCTTTCGACTTTTTCTATTATTGCATTACTAAAACCTGGAACTCTGGACTAGCAATCAAGATTTCAGACGTAAATCCCAAACCGAGACAATTATTTTTATATCGATGATAAGTCTCATATTAGAACCTATCACGTTTTCGAGTTTAACGAGCTCTCTGATAAAAATAGATTTGTTCCGACACTGTTAGATAAAAGACGTGAAAACCGGTATTTTGAAAAACAATATCTTAATGGCGACTTGTGATATTACTCGAGTTATTAGTTTATGGCCATAGCATAAATCAGAAGAAATCGTTTTTTCTAGTCGACATTTATATGTGAATGATATTACGGAGTGTCGTATTAAATATACCCGTGACTGTCAAATGATGAGTCAATCCCGTGATCATGTACGTTGGAAAGGGTTCGAAACGTCGGGAATTTAAGATCTAATTAAACGCGATAAAATCCGATAAATAGTTTCAACAATCAACAAAATATGATTCATTAATCATTAAAAATATTATCAAATTTAAAAAACTGAAATACTCTTAATAGACCTATTTAGGCGCAGAATGTTTAATAATCCATTTTCAGTTTTAACCTACATTCTAGAAGGCATTCCTGTGCAAAATTCCATGTTTCATTGTAACCAATGTGACGGCCGGTTAGCTATCGGGTAAGGTGATGTATGTCTAGGGTCGATTTCCACAATAATATTTATTTTGGATACTTTTCCATGTAAAATTTATTCATAAAGAACGTCCTTAAACAGAAGATAACGCTAAAAACGTTATCATAATGAAATAGCGACGTTTTTAAAAGGAAATAAAATAATAAATATTACTTTACAATTTAGAGAAGACAGTGCCACTTTCGCATGTTCCTGAATATTACGTTAGACGCCGTAGCGATTACGTTAGACGCCGTAGCGATTACGTTAGACGCCGTAGCGTTCTGAGCTAAGGCCTGCCTGTTTTGTATAGAACTGACTAGCGCTTGACTGTCAACCGGATGGTAGTATGGTGATGGTAGGTGGCGATGCAGCCGTTGATGGTAAGCGCGCCTGCTCAGTAAAAGCCTATTCACTCTTGCCTTGAAGACGCCTATGTTGTAATCGGACGGGAAGACCGACGCCGGCAGGTTGTTCCATTCCTTAGCCAGATGATAAATGACGATGCGAATCGCTTCGCCTTTAAATCGGAGCCCGATTTCTGAAAGGCTGTCAACGCATCCGCAACCCTCGGGTGTAGCAGATGTCCATGAGCGGCGGTATTCACTTAACATCAGGTGAACCGTCTGCTCGTTTGACAACGTTTCGCATAAAAAAAGGAAAAATAATATTTAATCTGGTCCAGTTTTCGGAGAATGAGCGTTTTTTCTTTTACGTTGGAAAAATCCTTTATGAATCCCCTGCCCCCGATCGAGGAACTGGCGAGGTCTGTGGGTGTCTCGGTCAGAATCGGGTACCGATTAAAAAATCCAAACACAGGGGCAGGTTCCACCTGCACTCCCGGGTTGCACTAGACTAAAAATCAAAATCAAAATCAAATTCATTTATACTACCATATAGTGAATACCATTCACTTAACATCAGGTGAACCGTCTGCTCGTTTGGCAACTTTTCACATTAAAAAAAATCTACGGAACCCCGGATGGCCCTCCAGAAGGCGATTGGATACACTGACCTCGACCATTCGCACCACGTGCCCTGCCTACCGCAGACGTTCGAACTTTATGGACCTAACGATTTTTGTATTTATTACAAAAGTAAACACAATTGTTTCGAAATACAATTATGTTCGCCAAACTGACAATACAGTTTATTGGCGACGCTGCACTCATTTAGGTTAACATATACATTTTAACACTTCTCTAAAATAAATTTAAAACAAAACATCCTTACTAACCTTACTTATCTTTACTAATATTATAAAGGCGGAAGTTTGTATGTATGGACGGATGTTTGTTACTCTTTCACGCAAATACTTCTGGATAGATTTTAATGAAACTTTACATTACTTAATAATATAGCTTATACATCAGAATAAGATATAGGCTATAATTTATACACATATTGTAATGTATATCTGTCTTTCTGTCTGAATGTTACACCTACAGCCTATTATACGCAGACGTAGTCGCGGGCACCAGCTAGTATTAATTAAAAACTAAAACATATCTAAATGGGTAAAGTACACTCATCGTTTAACTAGTAACAAAGCTATAAAAGAAAGGAAATTAATAACTTAAATTAAGTTAATAATTAATAAAGTTTCATTATTTAGATTAATAAGATGCATAACTTAATATTGGTCGTCGATGGCATTCGGTCAAAATCAAAATCAAAAATATATTTATTCACATAGACGCTTGCGCGTTCTTATGAAATGTCAAAAATTTTACATAAAAATTAATACGTTCATAAGTTACCACCGTTTCGGAAAGCAGTTTCTGTTGAGTAGAAACCGGCAAGAAACTCAACAGTTGCTCTTTTTTAAAACGATTAGTTTACAATGTCGTATACCTTGGCGTCGTCAAGATATTCCGGAATGGTATAATATGCCTTCGGTATCCAATATTTCAATATGTTTCTAAAAATTATACACTCGAGGAGATACAGCCCGTGGCTATAGCGAGTTTGCCATCTCTCATCTTCCTTTACAGCTACGAAGACGCGCCTAAGTATCTTAAGCTCAAATACCGACAAGAAATTTTCACTCATTTTGCCCAGTATTCTACATTCAGAACCATACATGAGTAACCTTAGTATAGAAGTTTCATGCTTCTTGATAGAAGTTTCCAGCGAAAATATCTTAGCGGGCCGAAGTAGCACTCGCCAGCGGCCATTAATCTCCTGCTTATTTCTGAAGACATATCGTTGTTATTACTTACTAGTGCCTTGGTGTTCAGCCCTTTTAATTGACAGGAGCTCCATATACCCTACGGAACGCACCAGTATTCCGTGAAGTCCTTGCTTAATAAACGTTAAAAAAACGCGCGTCCCTCGCAACTTAGACCGCGGCGGAATTCTTACATTATACGCGAAATTAATCCAGACTCCGTTGTCCTATATTGCTTCGCTCTAAAATATTGAATGACACAAGAAGTCCACACCAAAGATAGCCCGACGAACTTACAATCGATTGGCATTTTAATCTTTTATATAAACATCTTCCATACACTACAGTACCATTATCCTGTGTTGTAGAAGAGCTTTTGCAAATATGACTTTCACGTGAATGAATAAACACCCAGATCTGAAACAGTTCAGATACTCGTAGTTATCTCAGAACTGGGAATTCATCAACGTCACACAAATAGTTGTCGTTTGTAGAAATCGAACTCATGATCCCCAGTGCCGATACGAACCTATACCTTGGCAATTGCACCACGGATCATCTTTTACCCGCAGCCCCGCAGGCTTGGCGCATTTGGAAATGCTGTTTCATAGCATTTATCACATGCACTTCTCCAAATTTGTTTTTCCATTTCCAATTAACGGAGCGATCGACGTAGTTACGTAATTATACGCTTTGAAACCGCCCGTCGTTGTAATTACCACGAATATATGAAATTTGTTCATGAAGGTTGTTTCTGGCTGCGACATATAGAGGAAAAACGTAACTCGAAGTAAATATCCTCCTACAGTAGGCATCTATTTGAATAAATGATGAAAAACACAAGTTCATTCTATAAAACATCTTTACATCTTGATTTCTTGTCTTTACTCGAATATTATACATATTAAATGAAACTAGTTTAGATTCATGTGTACATAAAAAGTGTTTGACAAACACAGCTCACTGGACTTTCCGCTAAAGCGAAAAATAATCTGATTAAAAGTGACCACTCCCTCAAAGCAATTGTGCGCGAAATTGTTGACCCATACGTCCGCCGGGGTCATTCTTCTACATTATTTCGTTCCAACGTAGCCCGAGTTAATTCGGTTACTCGCTGCTCGCACCGAGAGGACAATGCGAAAAATCTGGCTGAACACGAGATGAATATTAAAAGGGTGACATTGCGTTAGTACGTCGTGCTCGCATATACTTATTGTATTCGATCACCCAGCTGTTGAATATTTGAAAGTTGATACTAAAAGTAAACTGATATGAACGCTGCACCGACAAGAACTCTTAAACTAAAGAAGATACCCATGAAATTAACGTTTGTAGTTGCGACTCAAATAAGACGCTTAAAATTTCTGAGATACACATACGATGACTCCGTGGCGCAGTTGCCAAGGTATTGACTACGGCGTCGGGGGTCGTGGGTTCGATTCCTACACGGGACAACTATATGTGCGACCCACAAATAGTTGTTTCGAATCTGGGTGTTTGTCCTCGTGCAATTTATGTTTGTAAAACGTCCTTACAACACTGGATAATGTTATCCTAAAGTGAAGGCAATGTTTTTTTAAAAAAAAAAACAGAAAAAACATAGATACTTTATATATGTTCATCAGAACAGATATCGTGTGAGGCCGTCATTATATTTATCCGCTCTCCTTTTCTACTTGGGTCATGTTTATTTGGAGAGTACAATCACTGTTGCAACGAATCTGCAAAGTAACAAAAATTATAAATACCTAGAAGTATACATAATAATAATTATAGTTCCTAGACATCAACCAGTCGATACATCGTCGACACATTTCACATTTCACACATTTTCATTTCTTTCATTTTCGGGTGTTTGCGAACTTACATATGTATGTATGTCTAATATTTTGGCAAGCTCTAACTAAACTTAAAATTTCAACTTATGAGATGACATTCGTCTCAGTTGTGGGAGTGTCATGAAGGAAGAAGAGTGTGGGAGTGTTTGCTTAGTTTTAAAGACCTAAGCATACATACAGGGACAGACAGTATTATACTATGCGATAATATTCGCGTAAAATTTAGAAACCAATATAAAAATGTACGCGATAAATCCGTAAACATAGCTTCAATTAGTAATTTACCTTTGTTTGATGAAGCGACAAAAACTGCTTTATGGTTTATACAATCATAAAGCAGTTTTTGTTGCTTAGTCGTATCTCGCCAACAGTATCAGTAAAGTGGAATGGATATTTGATTTTTTAAATAAATTTATTTTATGTATCAATTGTTTTCCTTTAACACCTATTTTTGCTTAAAAGTTTATGTCCTAGGCTTAACGACGCGGCTGTTGACAAGAGAGCTAGTTCTTTTCTCGCTCAAAGGTTAAGCATACCTATTCAGCGAGGAAATGCAGCTAGCGTTCTTGGCACCATGCCGCGTGGATTAGGTTTATTAGATAATATGTAATTTTAGATAGATTTAATCTTGTAAATATTAAATCAATAAAGATTGTAAACAATTTTCATAAGTTTTTTTTGCTTAGTAAAGTGTGTATATCTGACTATTTGGTATGAATATTTATTTATTATGTATAAAAGTAAAGTAACAGCCTATAAGTGACCCACTGCTGGGCAAAGGCCTCCTCTGTAAAGAGGGTATCAGGGCACCACGCGACCCCACTGCGGATTGGCGGACTTTTTTTCTATTAATATTTCGGAAATATGCAGGTTTCCTCACGACGTTTTCCTTAACCGTCGAGCACGTGGTAATTCAGGACTTAAAATTAACAATTTCATTGATGCTGGCCACGGGAATCGAACTCAGGTTGCTCGAGTAAATGTAATTAAAAGCGAACGCCCGGACACTGAACTATCACAGCTCATTGTATGAGCCTATTATGTATTATGTATTATCATTGTCTAATTGTCCCTATTCATATGTACACACTCCCGAATATTGTAACTTTTTTCTAAATCTCCTTTAAGAAAGATTTGCCTGGAGGAAATCGCTATTTTAGCGATAAGGCCGCCCTTGGTGCAACCATTATTGTTACGTTTATGTTGCTAATGCTTCCATTGTTATGGTGTGTACAATAAAGTTTATAAATAAATAAATAAAGCTATCTCTTCTAAAGCCTCGTTTTATTCGTCAAATGTTATTACTGTTTGTACTGGCACCCTCCATCAGGTTAATCCAGTGTTGTTGTCAGCTCCATCGACTTGATCCAGCAATTTTGTTGTCAGGTCTCCGACGACATCGGCTACGTGATATACTCTGCGCTGGGCAGCTTCTACATACCGTCCTGCATCATGGTCTTCGTGTATATCAGGATATACTACGCGGCGAAGGCGCGTGCGCGGCGTGGCATCAGGAAAAACCCCAGGCCCAGACAAGTGAGTTAATTTATTTTTTAGGGTTCCCTACCCAAAGGGCAAAACGGACCCTGTCTGTCTGTCGTCTGTCTCATGAACCTTGATAGTTAGACAGTTAAAATTTTCACACATAATGTATTTACATATTTCAAGAAATACTAAAAAACGGAACATCAATTGTCAACACAGGAAACATAAAAAATAACGATGATGCTGCCAACAGCCAACAGATCATGAAAGGTCTTCTAGAAAGTTCAACGTAAAATAGAACTATTTATATAAGTATATTGCTTCCGTAGAGTGAGGTAAACTAGGCACACCTTTTTTAAGTGTGTCAATGTATCTAAAGCACCTGTTGCGTGTTTGATGTCCAAGGGTGATGACGGTAATCACTTTTTTTTTTTTTTTAATGGAGAAAAGGTGCAAACGAGCGGGAGGCTCACCTGATGGTAAGTGATTACCGCCGCCCATGAACACCTGCAACACCCGAGGGCTCACAAATGCGTTGCCGGCCTTTTAAGAAAGAGTACGCTCTCTTTTTGAAGGTTCCCAGGTCGTAACGGTTCGGAAAGACCGCCGGCGGCAGTTGGTTCCACAGAGTGGTTGTGCGAGGCAAGAAATGCCTTAAAAATCGCGCTGTTGTGGAACGTTGGACATCGAGGTGGTGTGGATGAAATTTTTGGTTCTGGCGCGATGTCCGATGGTGGAATTCAGCCGCCGGGATCAATCCAAACAATTCCTCAGAACACTCCCCGTGATAAATGCGGTAGAAGGTGCAGAGTGATCCAACATCTCTACGCAGAGCCAGAGGATCAAGCCGATCGGAAAGACTTTGATCGTCCATAACCCTAGCCGCCCTACGTTGAATGCGGTCAAATGGAAGAAGCTGGTAATAGGGGGCTCCCGCCCAGAGGTGAGAACAGTACTCCATGTGGGGCTGAATTTGCGCCTTATAGAGGTTTAGGCATTGGGCAGCCGTGAAGTACCGTCTCGCCTTGCTGAGCACACCAAGCTTCTTTGAGGCCAATTTGGCCTTACCTTCCAATTGACCGCGGAACTGGACGTTGCTCGAGATTTCGACGCCAAGCATTCCGATATTAGCTGTGGCAGGTAGGGGAGTGTTCTCGAAATGAGGAGTCACGACAAATGGGGACTTTTTAGCGGTTAACGCGCAAACTTGTGTCTTTTTGGGGTTGAATTGGACTAGGTTTAGTCGACCCCAGTCTGAGACTTTGGTTGACAAAGTCTCGACCTCAGACACAAGCTTGTTCCGACTCTCGTAGACGTTTTTCCGAGAAATGTTAGCTCGGCCAGTGTACGAGACATCCACAGTGCTATCGTCTGCATAAAAATGGACGTTGCTGATTTGCAACATGTCATTGATATGCAGAAGAAACAGAGTAGGAGACAGTACGCAGCCTTGTGGAACACCAGCATTGAAAAATTTAGGATCGGAGCATGCACCGTCGACGACGACCTTGATGCTCCGATCTGCCAAAAAGTTGGTGATCCAATTGCATAATTTCTCGGGAAGCCCATAGGAAGGCAGCTTCGAAAGAAGCGCTTTGTGCCATACCCGACTTAACATCGGTTGTTCACCGCGTGACATCACTTCCGTCGTTTCCAAATACTCTGATGATGTGTTACAGAACGAACAGCAGACGAGCTTCTCCAACCCACCCAAGGGCACACGGCCCATGCCCACGTCATCATCACTACACATGCCTTCAGGAGTCGATCCTAGCAACTCAAATAATAACAGGTATGATAAATATACCCTACGCCCTTATCACAGAAGCCATCTCCTAAGGGATAAGACTGTCCATGTTTTGACAATACAAAAAAACAGCTTTTCTAAACAACCGACAAACTATGTTCAGCCTTTTGACATGTAAAAGACATATTTTAATTGTATGCGTTATACACCTCTATGTTATGGTATTAAAAAAAATCTAATAATCAAGAGGCCTAAACCATGTCTACCGGTGTAGTTCCCCATAAAAGTTCAGATGCAGTGCTTAATGACATTACATCAGCACATCGAACAATGGAAACACTAATTAATACCGTTTGTCTTTATAATTGCCTCGAGATGTTCCCTCTTGTACGTTCTAGGGAGAGCCAGATATCGACGATAGAGACGCAGCAAGTGGCGATACCAACGGTGACGTGCGACTTCGCTTCGGACATTTCGACTAGCGAAGCAGGCGACACCGGCCCACAGCCGCCAGACGATAGGAAAGACACGCTCAAGGTTATAAAGAACCCCTCTTCCTTATAACTAATAAATTCATATCAATGAAATACGAGACGGAAACTAGGTTTCCCTTTTTTTTAATTTGAGCCTTAAAATGCCTCCGGATATTGCTGCAACATCAAAGCTTGATAAAAACAAAAGTAAAGAAACATCTATACATGTCCCAAATGGCTGGGCAAAGGCTCCTCTGTACGGAGGGTACCAGGGTATAGTCCACCACGCGGAATGGCGGACTTTTCTTATCTTCTAAATATTATTTTTTTGTTATTATTTCGAAAATATGCATTTTCCTCACGATGTTTTGCTTCACCGCGATCTTGATAATAGTTTCTAATTTCTTACAATATTGTTTATAAAAAGGGGATTATATCTCAATTTATGGCAGTACCATTCAACAATATTATATGTGCTTTGTTTATATTCTTAAACGTGGTAGAAGTACTTACTTGAAAAGGCCGCCGCGTCCAGTAAAATACCAGGACCCAACAGAATACCGACGTAAAGTATAAGTAACAAGTACTATAAATATAAGTGACAACAAATATCTCAGTCACTATATTGTATTGGAAGTTCCAGAACCTGTTGGCGTATCTACGTGTGATATTATTGAACTTAATCCAATCCTATTCCTAGGTGGTGACCTGCGCCCAAGTGACGAGGAACCCCCTCGCTACGTGCCCCTACAGGAGTTCCACGTTGTCAGTCAACGGGGAACTGCAGCTGCAGCAATCCCAGCGCTGCAGAGCGCCGAGCGTCGCGATCGACACGGACATGGTCTCCGAGCTGGAGCCATCATCCTCCGACTCTGGCGTGGCGACGCGCTGCGCAGTGGTGAAACCGCTGAAACTCAGAATATGCCAGCCGATTTTCGGAAAGAAATCCGACTCGGCTAGAAGACAGGAGAAGTCGCAGCCTTCGAAGTCTGAGCTAGAACCGGCACTACCGAAGCAGCACAAGCCAAGAGACCCTGAGAGGGAGAAGAGAAGACTGGCTAGGAAAAAGGAGAAGCGGGCGACGCTGATACTCGGCCTGATAATGGGCAGTTTCATCGCGTGCTGGCTCCCCTTCTTCTTCCTCTACATCCTCAAAGCTGCTTGCCGGTGGTGCGTGATACCGTCTAGCGCGTTCGCGATCGCCTTCTGGCTGGGCTACATGAACTCGGTGCTGAACCCGGTGATATACACGATATTCAATAAGGATTTCAGGAGGGCGTTCCGAAGGATACTGTTCAAGTGATGTTTGGCCTACCTGTGCTGCTACCGATGCGTCGCCAACCGTATCATGTTGGCCCAAAACCGTGCGGCACCAGGTCTTTATAACGTTCGCTGATCTCACCCTTTGTCTTAGACTGCTGTGAACGCCATCTGTGTTTCGTTGTTATCGACTCGAGCTCTGTTGTGTTGAACTAGAAGTCGTTTCTAACCTGTTATTAGGCTAATGAATTGTGAATTATTTATACAACAATTTTAATAATAACAAGTGCGCGAATTGTGGAATTTTTAGTGAGAATGCTCTTGTATCGTCTTAAAGTGAAACGTATTTCCATTTTACAATACTGTAAATCATATTTATGTTAGCTTCTAAGGCAAATGAATTGTTTATACATTAACTAAAAGAAACACCAATGCGACAATTTGCAATTAATTTCACGATTTGTGTAGATTTAATCTCAAAATATAATTTCGCAATTCTGTAAAAAGGAATACTGTAAATATTATTTCCATTGTCTAGATTTATTGAATTATTCTTAAAGAATATATAAATATTGTGTAAATAGTAACAATGAACTGCAAAATCACTGATGGATTTGAAATTTACGTAGATATAATATCTTAGCTTTCCTCCTACATAGACTATGGAATCATAATGTAATTTTTATAGCTTTAAATTATTTAATAATTTAAAAGCTTGTTCTAATATTCAAGTTAGTTGTTTATATTTAATATGTAAGCAGAATGCACTACGCCTTCTGCTTACTTTCTCATACGCTTAAATCGTGTACAAAGTTTTATACATACGTATGTTTTATGAAAGTTCGTTGCTAAAACGTCCTAAGATTAGTATAATGTATAAGGAAGCAATATGTTAACCCTCGTAGATTCCTTTACAGTTACCGTCTCACCCAATTTTGTTTAAGTTTGGAATTTGTTGTTTAATTGTTTATTAGTTGAATACATGTGAACACATCCAACAGTTGTAGTGTTAGAGAGAGAATATAATTACAGATAACGGAGCTTACGAACGACGCTATATGGGTTATCGTTTAGATATTGGTATTGAAATCTCGTGCCATAAACCAGTGCCATTAACGTCACACTACATAAAAGATTTTAAATAGTGCAACAACAGTATTGAGTTTCCATGCATTGTAGCAAAAGTTGTAGCATTCATTTTCTGACAGCACCGCCATTTCAATTAATAACATAAACTTGTTTGGTCCATATAAAATATGCCGGTTTCGAGGGTTGGACACTGATATTGAGTTTTAGTGTTATAGTAATATAGCTAATTTTTAAATGAAACTACATTGAAGGATGTTATTGAGTTTTAAGTTTCAGGTCATTAAAGAAAAAATGAAGTAAAATTAATTATTATTTGAAAATGGACGCACTTACGTCAAACTATTAATTGTGTGCGAAATTATACGACCTTTACGAAAATAGCTTATTAATTAACACTTATTTAAAATTTTGCAGTTTAAGACAAATTAACTCATTAACTTTTAATTTGTTCGCTAAAAAATATATTTGTATTAGTGATAATATATCAATTTCTGTGACTGTGCTGTTGTCGAAACATAAAAGCACCAGTTATATTTAGTCCACTGTAAATGGTGCAAAGAAAATTTGACTATATCCCGTGCCTATAGAAGTATGGTGTTTTTTCTCTGATTATTTTTTTTTCTTTTTTAACATTCATTTCGTTCGTTAAGTTCTCCAAAAGCGCCGGTCGCTCAAAACCAGTTGTCACTGTTTTGTAAATGCTATATCTAATTAATCTAACATTAAGGTTTAATTAAGGACTTTAATCTTAAAAGAATGAACACCAATCATCGTGTAAAAAGTTTTTAATCTTATGATATTATTATATATTCAAGATATTTATCTCAAAATCGTATACGCTAAATATATTTAATTAGAAGAGTTCCTGTCAAGACATTATAATAGATTCAGTCACATTTTTCTTAGTGCTTCATCTTACGTACTAGGTAAGTCGTGGCCGTAATGAAAAAAAAAACTTATGATTAGTTAGTAATTAAATACAATTTTTTTTAAAAGTGTAACAAGAGAAATATATCAAACATTAATTATTCCATGACTGAATATGATATGTAGAGGTTATCGACCCTCGTAGACATGTAAATATTAGGGGGATGATATTCGAAATGAAAAAAAAAATAGAAATTTCTAACATAACTAAATTAAAGATACAACGATGACAATTGAATTCTAAATCGGTGTTAATTATAACGTTTGATATTTAACGTACTTAAGTCGAGGTTATAAAGTTAGGACTGCGGTCAGCTGAGTATCGGTACTGAAACGTGGAGCAATAGTCGAACATTCATTTTAGCCGCGATACTTTCTTCTAGAACATTTCCATATTGTCTTCCAATGTGTGTGTGATCTTAGTATAGCGGATTTCTATTGATTTCTAGTTATGATGACACAAAAGTGATTATTTGCACGTACATATGATTTAAGTGCTAGGGCGCCAATATCGTGCTAAACTGGATGGTTAGTTTCTAAATTACGATAGTGCGTAGTATGTCGGCCAACGGATCCTCTACAGTTGGCTCCGAGCCCTTTTGCTAACTGTAAGGGGTCTAATAGGCGCATTTTTAAACGAAAATCGTACGTTCATCGGGGACTATCGATAGCCGGATACGCCCCTCGACCGAACAATCCTCTAACGCAATAATTTTGAGTAACACTCTCGTATTGTTTAGATTTATCGAGAATATTTTCCATAAATACAGGTTTTTGTACAGTTAGCATCGGTGTAAATACCTCGTCATTCGTTTAGCATTAACTCCCTTAACTTTTAGGAGGGTCTTTCGGGAAGATTTGAAATGAACATTGTTTTTAATAGTAACTCGTTTTTAAGCTATACTTACTGTATGATAAAATAGTGATTTTTTCAATAATAATCATTATTGTTCTAAACCTGAAATTAATGAAACTATTTATACTATTTACAGTTATATACTATAATAACTAGACATTTGTTAAATGTTTTTTGTTTTCATTTTTAAATAAAGTTCGAAACTCGTTACGTTTACATTGTTCTTTATGAAATATTACTATTATTGTAATGATAATCGTCTAAGAATAACACGATAACTATTAAAATTCTTATCGACTCAAATTGTAAATGAAAAAAATATACGAAGTACCAAATATACAAATTTTAATCTTTAACTTGTAGTTTTTTTTAAAATCCCTCATTGATTTAACAATTAAAAATGAAAGATAAACAGCACAAACATACAAAGCAGCAAGCATTTAACATTCTAATTTGAAAATGGACCGGGTATATCGCTTGATGTTAAGTTTTTACCTTCACCCATGGGCATTTAGAATATCCATCAGTTTCCGAATGCTTTGCTAACCTGTTAAATGGGTCTATGTGATCTTACTCACGGAGAGCAAAGGTTAATACGTAATACTTAAAAAGGATAATACTTTCACTTTAAACCGGTCTTCCGACGGGCTTTCCAATGTACACAATGGCAAAAGCTACTGTATGGCCCTACCATCGTTGAACATCAATATTATTTAAAATTTTCTTTTCAGGAGAAAGAAAGGTTTACTGGTAGGGCCACATGACAGTTGTAGCTATTGTACCAATGGCGGCCAAAGTCTGGCCGGCCAACCTAACCTCAAATGATTTTCGGGAGTGCAGTGTGACCATATGCTACTTATCACTTACCAAAGAAAAAGTAACATACGCAAAATTGACGTAATTAAGCGTCATCGTAAATGTTAAAATACAAATATAATATAAAAAATATAAATAAAAATAAGGTACTGTCGAACTTCAAAGTATTTCTCATAAACACATCATATTAAATGAAACTATTATAACGAATTTCACGCGTTTATCTCTAGTTTTTTCCGGACGTTTCGAAACCATTTCATCGTTCATGGCCATGGACTGACCATGAACACTGAAATGGGTTCCGTGATAAATCCGTAAACATAGTTTCATTTAGTGATGTGTAATAGCGTGAATACAAGAAACTATTAGTACACCTTACGCCGCATCTGAATGTAAGAAAAAACCAAGTGCGGTTCCGTACTAGTATTTATAAAAACGGAAAAATGTCATGTTTTTTGTATGCGAGCCCCACTTAAATATTTTTTATTCTATTTTTAGTATTAGTTGTTATAGCGGCAACAGAAATGCACCATCTGTGAAAGTTTCAACTGCCTATGACGGTTCATGAGACACAGCCTGGTGACAGACGGAGTTCCAAATCTTAGTAATAGTGTCCCGTTTTACCGTTTAGGTACGACACCCAAAAAAACGCCTTAACGAAACGCTGAAATGAAACAATTGTGCAACGCTGACTGATTTTGAATTCCTTGGGCGTTCATCGACGGGCGTGACGAACTCGCAAACAAACTTGACGCGACGACAACAAGCAGAGCTTAATAAGCTCTTGTCGTAAGTTGCCGGAATATAAATTAATTAAGCGGGAGACGATGGGCGTTTGGAACACTGTTTTAACGTTTTCGCTGCTGATATAGCTTTGAGGCGAAGTTATTTATCGAGTTGTGCAGTAAGCAGTGCGCTACGCCATCTGTTGACGAATAGCAGATGTTAAAGATGACGCAATAGCTGAAGGAAAGCCTTTTATTTTTCAATAACAAAGGACACAACCGGGCAATCAATTTAATTGTATTATTTTATAATCAAGCTTTTATAGGAAAGTAACGATGCTAAGTTGACTTAGCCAATGTTCAATGTATTATTTCTCTATGGGTTTTTTTTTTATCGTAACGGCATAACTTATACAATTCTACAACAGATTTAATGATTCAAATGCCATTTCAAGGTATAATATATTCCGCTTTTGACGAAAAATAAACAAGTAACATTAAGTTAATTTTTTGTTATCAAATCCACAAAGTAATGGTCTGTATATGGTTATGTGGAAAGTTGGCAACTGAACTGACGGTTCACCCAACGTTACGTAGTAACCGCCGCTCATGGAAATCTACAACACC